TTTTTTATTCCACTTTTTCAAACTGTAGAGGAAAAAAACTTCCCAAACGCAATTTCCAGTTTTTCAAATTTTAGTTAAAAGAAATATACCCAAACGCATTGCCTTCGAATATTTTGAAAAATTTTGAACAAAATATTTTCGCGTTCGAAGCGAAACATTACTCCAAGGGAATCGGTAGAAATCGACGTAAAGAAAATTGTTAGTACCTCTTAACTATTTTAAATTTAGTGGATTTACGTTAGCCCAGTAAATTTAGATCAACTTGGTACGAAGAAAAAAAAAACTGTATGTAGTAGAGAACTTTTTATGCAGTTTACTTAATGGAATCCACGAGACCGCGTCAAATTGTCCATTATAACCGAGGTGTCCATATTATCAGAATATAATATTTTTTAAATAATAAAGAAATGATGTACATGGTGTACATATATAAATGCAAAATTTTGTACTTTTCTTGCTTATAAATAGATTGCACTGTAGATATTCTGCCGAAATCCAAAATAAAATCTAATTTTTTTAACTTCTGGTAGATTCTTCAATTAAAAAAACGTTGTTAACAAAGGGATATCCTGCTTATATCAGCAATAAAATCTGTGTTTCGTTAACTTTATTCCTGAAATTGTAATTTCCGTTTCTAAGGGTTTGTCGCCTTAAACAAAAATCTTTCCGAACAAGTAAGTAGTTCTGATACCTCCAACAACATTTAGTTTTTTTTAATTTATTAAAAAAGTAGAGATAAGAATCTTAACCAATTAAAATTCTTCTTCTTTTCAAACAAATGTATTCCAATTTTTTGAACTTGCAAATTAAAAAAAGCGCTAAATGTAGATTTATGTGTCACGGTTACAAATATTTAGTTGCACGTACCTAGTACTTATTTGCGATAATTTACTATTTGATGAGGCTGTAATATGGAATAGCATTCTATCTATAAAAAAATAAACAAATACGTAAGTATGTATGTATGTACATATGTACGTATGTATTTGTATGTGCGGTAGAAAACTGATTTCGTAAAAGATTAAGTGTTTATTGTGTCAGTTTTGACACTTAGTCATAAAGCAGGAACGGTACATGCTCGAGATTTGCTCATTGAGATAAAATTGTGGGCAAATGATATGCATATTAGGGTTATCCAAAATGTCTACTCTACGTGCAAGTATGTTAAAGATGTAGTACAATTGGGGTACCTACTGATATGTATTAGTGAATTAAAAGTGCTCGGCTGTCTGAATAATGGAGTATCCAGAACTGATTTGAAATGCGTCATAGTTTTGTTTTTAAATATACCCTAAATTGAAAATTGATTTTGACTCATAGGGGAAATACTCTGCACGATTATTGCACAATATGTAGTGCTCCGTTGCGTTTATGCGCTGATAATCAAGGTAAGTTACGTGAGTTATACCTTAAAAAAGGGTGGGCCACTCGGCTTTTTATAAAATTGATAACCGGTACTAAAAATTCGGATTTTTCAAAATTGGTAACCGGTAAAAAACCGGCTTCATTTGAAATTACCTTTATAAAAAAAATTGGTGTGACTACTCCGTTTTTCTCAAAAGTGGCAGCCGTTACTAAAAACCCGGGTATTTCAAAATTGGTAACCAATTCAGAAAAATCGATTTCATTTTTGGGGAAGAAGATGGAAGGATAGGCGATTCTGCTGGGTCTGCATAATATTTTGGTATCCCTGCCGCATAAAACGGACTTTAATTATACCTAAACTGGGCACAAAGAACTTGGGACACTGGGTCTTGGAATAAAAAATAAAAATTTGTGATACGAAGAACCGAGGCTCGCTCTATGATCTACAAAGAGGAAACAAATCTTTAACAATCAGGCAGCACTGAAGGCTTTAGACTCACACATATGTAGACTATGCAAAGTCCCCTATTGAAAGCCGCGGAACTTTGAACGGGAAGGAAGCCAAGGAGCGCTGAAACAGTCTTTGTTCCTGTGAAACTTTCAAAATTGCCTGGGCACTTGAAAACGAAAGGTATCCTCAACCCAGATTGTACGAAACTTGTCTGCAACTAGTTTTGTTGCCTTGGATTTAAAATAATTTTCTTGTGAGTCTACGTGAAAATTTTCGTTCTATACCTATCCCCTCATATTACAACACTTTTGTAATGCACTGTTAAATTACTTAATTTCACTTAATAAAAAATCACTTTATCATAAAATCCTGCTAGATCTAATTTTTATTAATGTACTAGTATACATACGTATGTACAGGTGTATATGCATGAAAATGTAATTGACTCAGAGGGAAACACCTGCGCCCAAGCTGTAAACGCACCACGTTTTGACTTTTTGAACCAATAAAATAAAAAACAATAACTTAGTTAATGTGGCGAGATATTGGAAATCAAAGGAATTTCAGACATATGTACATATGTTTGTACTTACATTAGACCGTACCACCTTACAAGCAAAGAAATTTTTTTTTGACGAACCTAGGGTCGCTTTTTCAAATTTTTTGGGGACACCTACATTCGGCAAAAAAAAAATTAAGTAATTCTACTGGAATGGTGAAAAAACTTTCGTAGCAAAAGTTCAATGATAGCTATAATCTACTGACATTAGGATGGTACGTAAGAGTGATTAGAAGTGAGATCTGGTGAGTGAGTACTAGAACGGGGTACTTAATGGCGTTTTCTTTTCTACCAAAAAAGGTTACCTTCTCTTTGCCCTCTACGCACAAATACTAAGAAGAGGGCAATGAGAAGGCACACTTTTTTGTAGAAACGAAAACGCCATAAGGTTAATGAACTTTGGAATATAAAAAATTCTGCTCAATACAAAAACATTGATATATCATACTTTAAGATCTGACTAAAAATGCGGAAGATAAAATGAAAAATGTAAAGAAGCTGGTAGGCGTTCGGCCAAGAAATTTATGTATATGTATGTATATCGAGCCCTAACCGCCAAAATAACGTAAGCGACATTTTTTTTCATTTTCTTTTCGATGCAGAAATGCATCTAGATGCTCTAGGCATATCTCTGCATCAAAAAGAAAATTTTTTTTTAAAATGTCGCTTACGTTACATTGCGGTTAGGGCTCGATATATTTCTTTTTCAAATTGCCTTGCAAAAATACTTTAGATTCAGGGGTGCATGACGATTTTATTTGAATTTTTTTTTGCTCGTACGGTCTAATGTGCATACATATGTATGTACTACTTATATAAGTATGTATATGTAAAACATTTTTATATGAGTGATTAGTTACTTACGAATTGAACGAGTTTCAATATGCCAGGCACTGTCGTAAAGTAACCGATATTGATTTTCAATGCGCTGAGACCACCGCCACCACTGGGCGCTGTTGTTTGTGTGGTAGTATTGCGTTCAACGGTAACTACTGTTTCCACCATTTTTTAATGATTTTGTATTTTATGTCTTTCTTATTTACAAATTTTCCTTCTTAATGCACAAGTGACTGAGCTAACTAGAAAAATAATAACACAAGATTAAAGGGGTGGGGATATTAGACACAATATATGTAGTAGTTAAATATGTATATGAACTTTTTTATTTTATTTGAGTTATTCACATTCAGGTTCACTGATAGCAGCGCGTAACTTTCGCTTTTTATAAAATAATTACTACTTGATGTATTTTATTACACGATACGCATTACGTGTACTTATAGTACTTATAAGTATGTATATTTTGATGCGTATAGCTAATAACCGAATAGCGGCAGTGTTCAGTCGTAACTAACGGTTTGTTAAGGTTTTAGTTAACCTTTAAGTTGACCAAAGTCCGTAGACTTTACTGTAAGCTGATCATTTGCTAAAACAAGAATAAAATTAATAAAAACAACAAACCGGACGCTCAAGGAAACACACACGCACTAACTACATAGTTTGTATGCTAAGTTAGAATGAGAGAACCTGCAACAGATTGCCACAACACAAGCCAAGTCAAGTCAAGTCTCGCGGCCTACTACTAGCACTAAGCCAAAACAGAAAGAATTCCACACAAAAAAAAATAAACAGAACCAAATAAACGGTCATACGCCAGTACAAAAATAGTACATGCATATATTAACTTATTTTTACGATTATTATGTTATTCTTTCTGGTTTGGATTTTCTTGTCCAATAGTTTTTCACTATGAGCGTTGATCGTTATTACTGGAGCACTTTTTTGTGTTTTTTTTTTCTTTGCTTTGGGTTCACTACTAGGCTGCTTAGAACTTTAGTTGGCTACTAAATATGTACATATGTATGTATGTACTCGTATATACATATGTAGATTTGAACGAAGTTTATGCCTTCTGCATTCGCTTTCACTTCCTAACAAGACTCACCGTTCCGAACCGATCTTAGCCGTTTGAACGCGTTATTGCAACTGATTGCTTGATTGCGAGACGCTATTTCCGAGTTTGGACAAACTCTCTAAAATCCAATTGCGGCGCGGAGGCAACTGTTGCTCACTCAGTTCGCTGGTTGTTAGCTGGCGCGCTCTTCCAAATACATACGACATACATATGTATGCATGTGCATACACAAGTAGTGAGCACGCTTTTTATTAATTTACTTTGGTTGGCGATTTTTACCTATATGTTTTTGTTTTCGGCATTTATTTACACTTATCAACGCTTGTTTTTCGCTATGTGCAACACCGTTATTGAAATCAAAAAGAAAATTATTGCGAAGGGACCGAGTCACGGCATCCCCACTTGCTAGCTATCGGGTTCGGTTATGTCACAGTTACCGAATCGTTGTTATTGTAGCAGTGGTGCTCAGGCCCCGGGGTTTGATTATGCGTCATTCTCACCCTCCGACTCTGCAAGCCTGAGGCCAAGAAAGCTGGCGACGTCGATAGGCGCAGTTCATCAGGCTCCTAGTGTCAAAGTTGTCGGGTTGGAGGTGCATGGGCAGGTGTTTTCAAGCTCTGAATTTTGAGGCGAGACGTGGCTGTTGAGTCTGTGACACCACGCTGAACGTAGTTATGCTATGTTGCATCTGGTCTCTCTCTCGCGGTTTTGCTTGTTCGATATTGTTGGTCGGCGGTCGAAGACCTAGAACGATGTAGGCCTACGAGTGCTGAGACTCGTCCTGACTGCTTGGCTGTGAAGATTGTTGAGCGCTGCTCTGTTTCGCGCTGTCTCGAACGGATGGTATATGTACGGCTCGATGCGAGGTCTCTAGTCATGCATGATGTTGTATTCTTTCACCGCCAGCATCTGCATTTCTGGTAGGTGATAATCCGGCGACATGAGCTGGCAGCCTGTGGTTGTACGTAGAGCTCCGTTCTGGCAGCTTAGTAAGTTTCTCCACTGCGTGTCGCCGTTCCTGGACACAACACTGGCGCTGCGTAGTTTGCCACCGGTCGGCCGATCGCTTTGTGAATTATGGGCAGAGTCTCCTTTTCGGCTCGCCAGGTGCTGCCGGCTAGCAATTTGAGAAATTTATACCCGGTCGAACGTCACTCCCAGAATTTTCGGTCTGTTCTCAGTCGGTATTTTTGAGTCCTGGAGGTATTGGGCAAAAGGTCGCGTGATTAACCTTGTCCAATGCCTTTGGCAGGTTTACGCTGGATATTCAGATAATATTTCCCCATCTTAGAGTAGGAAGCAAAAAAGGTTTGTCTGGCGGTAAACAAAAGCAAGGTACATATCTCCAGTCAACACACAAAGAGTATTCGCGTATTGGAGCAATCTATCATCATACCCTTCCTTTTATATGGTGCAGAAACGTGGTCAACGAAGAAAGATGAGAAGACTGTGGAGGCCTTCATGAGAACTATTCTGCGCAAGATCTATGTCCCTGTTTGCGTGGGCGACAGCTACCCAAGCAGATGGAATAATGACCTCTACATAGCATTCATAGGGAATCGGTCTCAACCTACATCGACCCCGACCTGTGAATGCCGTTTTTGGTACACAACTACCCAACAACGTGGAACGGAGAGAGCTTGGTATGCACCACAATAGCCCAACTTCGCTTTGGATATTAAAGTAGGCTAAACTCGTACCTGTGAGCAAATATTCCAATGAGTGCCCGGTATCCTGAGAATCACCACATGATTCACGGCACCTCTTCACGTGCCCCCAACGCGCCTCCTGGATCTTCCGTTAGCTGAGCCTAGATAAACCAATTTGGGCAGGGCTGAGTAGCCGCTACAACAACATCAACATGATCTCTACATGAGCTCTATACTGGCATTGACATGTAGTACTTTTGAACGATGATGCTCTGTGGAAAATATCCCTCTACTCGGCATCTATGGGTAGACGCCCAAAGCACCGATAACATTTAGGACACAACAATATCGGCCATGCGGTGAAGAAGCAAGTTAGTTCAGAGAAATAGTCATTTACTAAAGAGGACAGGTTATCAATGTCATTGTCGAACACAAAACTTTGTCTATTAGCTGGGAAGCTTCGAAACAAAAAAAATTAACAGTTTCGAGGTTTGGGCTTGAAATATTACTAAGGATTGCTGATGATTCGCGGTCCACCGTATGAGTTCCTGTCATCGACAAGTAGAATATCTTGGTCAGATTTTCCACTGTCGTCAGACCCAACTTTTTCAGTAGCTGCATACGTATTCTGTCGGGCCAATGGATTTGAAGGCTTTCGTCTTTCCTACGGTCAACTGGACTCACCGCTTGTGAAAGGAAGAGGCGCACTGTTTTTTTTTGGCAGTGTACATCTCCTTCTGATCTGGGTCTGAATTGTCGGCTGAAGTAGCTCGCGCATCGCTTCTGATCCGACGAAGTGCGATCACCAAATGAAATTTTCACTCTGCCATCCGCTTCATGGAGTTGGCCACGGACCTTACAGTAAGTAAGATCTCTAATTAGGAAATCCCTGGGATTAACCGGGCAAAATTGGTCACGCATATATACCATAGTTACCAGACGCTTCAGCCGGAAAATTGCGTAGGTTCAAGAGGGTTTCAAAGGTGATCTGAGTAACTTCCGCGCAGCCATCCCTAGGCCTTCTTGAAGTTTATATAGGTGCGGTGAATCGCGGACGCTAAATCGGCAGATTTATCAGTCGAAGGCACTATAGTTGGACAGGTTCTAATGTCAAAGACCATTATGCGGTGAAGTCTCCACTACTATATGGTTTTTACTCCCCGAGGTGGCACGGAGCATATATACCACTGCATAGTCATTCCTTTATTCTAGGAAGGTGTCCCTGCAGTCGATGGCTTCTTCAATGACTGCACTCTGTTTGGTTAAGTTTAAAGACTAGGCTTCCGCCATTGTCTCGCTCGCAATCTTTACAGAGAATATTACAACTGCCTCAAATCAACAGAGAGAAGGACTCGGTTCACTTGCCATTTTCCATTGGCAAGAAAAATGGCTGCGCGCTTTGTTGAACTCGGCCAAAATCGCCAAGATGGTTCCTGGGGTACTTGATTATTGCACCACCCTATTACACGAGGTTGTAGCCATGGAAGAAGGGGCGCCGTATGGCGTAATCAATAGAGGGTCGCATCCCTTGTGGTCCAATTTCTGTATAACCCTAGGCCATAACTAATTCTTGGGTGGATCCACCCCCCGCAAGAGTTGTTCCTAACCGAAGTGGATTTCTGATGGAACCTTCTCTGGGTCGACCAGTAAGGCGTTTTTCCAGGGACGAACAACGATTGGCTGCTCGCTGGCCTAGATAAAAGGTCTCAAAGGATCATAACAATTAATTATCACCTGTAATTAATTTATTAGGCTCGCTTTGTACTTTTAATGAAAACTTTTTATGAATAAAAAAAGTTTAGGGAAAGGCTCTATGGAATGCCTTCCTCGATCCGGTCTAGGTAACCGGAATGACCCAGATCTATGGCCCTATTTTCTATGGCGACTGATAGCCGATGGCCAACCATATACTAAAATTCGAATTACGTATGGCAACTGGCTACTGAGTCTAGTAGCGCAATTTGCTGTTTCCCGTTTATAACGATTTTATTTGTTTACAGAATTTTTTAAACGCATTGGAGCAAAGTTGCCAATTACTTCGAAATGTACATTTCGTAAATTCGGATATTGTGTGCGTGTTTCTGTATACTGAGATTAATCGCTATATATTCTACAATGTACGATACTGGTAGCCACGGCTACTAGACCAACAACTAGACACCAGTTGCAATACATAATAGGGCCAAAGGACTGGCACTCCGGAAATGCTCCCCAAAAGTCTGGAGAACTTTTTTTGTGTTACTAACACATCCCTCATATTGAAGGTTTTAAAATCACTAGCATATCAGCAACAACTGGGTGTATTCGAACTGCAATTAAAGGGGCATTGTTACTTTTTATGAAGAAGCATCACGATCTACGAAAATTTGTGCAACTCTCCCTACGTCAAGCGTTCGTAGCTCCCACATTTTAAATTAAAGTAAAATCACTATATAAAAACTTTTTAATACATATGCATATCAACATGAAAACAAGCATTGTAAACATTATACTTATAAAATTAATACAAATAAAATTTATAAATGTCTTAGAACAAGTAAATATGTCTACATGGTAAAAACAATAAATTGTAATATCCTAATAATTAAGATGCGAGACCCGCCTGGCGCATGGTGTCTCGGGTAATCTATGATTTATTTCGTAAAAAGTTTATAAGCTCCATATCTTTTGCCATTACGGTAACTCTACGTGCATGCAATGCCAAGAGATTTGCATCCTCAAAACGTCCTTCAACGTAGGCCTCAGTGGCTACGTGCAGGGCCTCTAAAGCCTTTAATGTTATTGATCTTACATCCGTATCATTGCTCAACAATATTTCTCGCACAAGACGGCCAAAGGCTGCGCGTGGTATCATTAAATCCGTCCGTGCAATTAATTGTGCGTGTAAAAATTTCCCTTTACGTTGGGTTTTACGTTTGTGCGGTGTTGCTGTTTTCGTTGATGCAGTCGTTGTTTGTACATGTTCCAGCGCACCCTGCTCTAATGGCCTTTGCGCCTTCTCCAATGGTTTGACCGCTGTGGCGCCGACTTGTTTAGCTGAAGACCTGTTTTGGCTAGCCAGAGTTTCTGAACTATCTTTATTAACACAGCTTTCATTTTGCTTGTCCATATTTGTAGTTGGAGCAACTGAACGATGTTCTTTTGACGAATTATGTACATATCGGCTTCCGGTATTCGTAAACTCCAAACCATAGTCAGTACCATCGGTATCAGGTGCTGGTGAGCGGAAGCCTTGATCATCTTTTGCTAGCCCATCTTCTGCTGAGCTACTAGTGTCCGTTTCGCCCAAATCAGCAGCTGGATGCCTGCGCTGATGTGAAGATTTTTTAAGCGCAGAATTTGATCCAGGTTTTCGTGGTGGTCGCATCTTTGTCCAATATAAAAGCTTTCAGTAGCAGGGAATTACAAGTTTCCTAACCTCCAGAATAATTTTTTTATGCCGTTTAATAACAGAATCAGGATATGTTTGATGTATTATTAAAATAATGGGAACATGCACGGTTTATTTATTAAATTTCACTTTGATTTGAAATTTCTTTTGGTAAGGCAGTTCGTGGCACTGCCATATCGGCAATAGAATACAAGAGCCCCTTACAAGGTGTCTGCAAGACCAATTTGTAATAACATGATTATGGTTTGATTACAGTGTTTTTTTTTTTGTATCCATTCATGAATACAGACAGCCATGAAGTCTGTATTTTAAAAACTTTCAGCTAGCAATTAGTAAGGAAATACTTCGACACTTATTTTGATACTAGTAAGTGTGCATGTATTTAGAATCCCGATTCATATTTCCATATAAACGTGCGTGTGTTCCACTACATGCGTTCGCCGGCAAATGCGTCACGCCGTCAATGTCAAATAAAATTGAACACGTGTGTTTGTATGACAGCTGTTACAGAGAACGCCGTTACGAAAGCGTTAACGCAGTTGCCGTCGAAAGTTGACTTTTGAAATTACATTTGTGGATATGCTAATCAGCTGTTGTTTACACAACAATGAGTGGCACAACGCAAGGTGTGTAACAGTAAATTTTTCAACGTTGTCAACACACCAATGGATCAACGCAACGCCGCAGCAAATAAAATTATGTACCTTCAGCTTGATAGCCCAGTCATGCATAATTGTACTGCTATACCATTTTTACGTAGAAATCAAAAACCAACAGACTTTTACGTATGTAATGCTGTGCGTTGGGTAACCGCTTACACGCGAAGCTCATTTAACAGATTCCTTATGTGACAACTCTCAAGCAATGCCAAGTATGCATAACAGAGCCTTTACACCCAAAGCTAATTGAACAGATTCTTATGACAACTTTCATGCAACGAGCATCGGGCATTGTCACACGGTCAGTATTTATTGACGTGATCCAAGTATCGCGATATTGGCTGCGTTTCTTTATACATTCCAGATAATCCCATTTCACAGCCAGAATAAATAGAATTCGTTTGAAATATACGTTAACATATCATCAGGAACGTTCTAAAGAATAAGTAAACAAGAAGGTTTATTCCAAACGTTCAGAATAAATAATGAAATGAAGCCATTTATTGACGGTGTAGCATGCAGTATTGATGGATCGTGATCCATATCGCAAAATTTCTCAAAAAAAATTTAAATCTGGATCGCGGATCGCAATATTGTCAATAAATATTGAGCGTGTAGCACTTTCAAAACGCGATCCATACATTTCGTCAGTACATCTCGTACTCTCATAATGCGAACATCGAAAACGTATTCGCTATACCTTCGTTCTCGCTGCTTAAAACCTTTCAAAACAAATTGAAGAAATTTTAATTAACATAGGAAATTTTCAAATAATTGTGGAATGCTTTATCTGTAAATTATTCGTACAAAATAGAAAATATTTTCTTGCACCATAGTAAGCGTTCAGCACAAAAATTATGCAAATACTGACGCGATAAATATTGAACATGTAGCATTCGTGCGCGATCCATCAATCCATCAATATGGATCGCGATCCAAATATCGTGAAAATTACTGACCGTATGACAGCGCCCATATATTTCTGTTGTAAACCTTGTGCTCTTTTTTCACTTTTTTTACAAAAAACAGTAGAAAACCGTAGTAGAAAGCATAGCAAATTCTTTAAGAACTGCGTACTGCCTGAAGGAAATTTGACTCAAGAAAACTTCTTAGCCATTTTTTGTACGTCATTTTATATAGAGTTTTTGTTTTTCTTGAGAGCTGCATTCAGGCCTCTAACTTTGTCCCGTTGTCTCATGTGGGCAACTTGCTGCTTTTGAATTTTTATAAAGATGTGTTTTTCAATAAAAATATGTGCTCAAAACAAGGGAGTATGCTATTTTTGTGAATACAGTAATTTTCGTCATGGGGAATGTACTCATAAGCACTTTTGGAATGAAATCTTCCACGATGAAATGCCCAAGTACAAAAACTTTTCAGTGATGAGCATGGCAGATCTTCTGCGATGGTTTTACACTTTTCACTTTTGGGCGGATTTAAAATTTTTGGGTGAATTTTTTTTTTCGGCCGGAACTCAGGATTATGTGCACAAAAATTTCTTACTTTCGTCCTTATTCATTTCCTTAATTTGTCTGATTGGACCTTAAGCCCGCTTTAATCACAATAGCAACCCTAAAAGGTTATCGTATCGTGACATTTTGGAGTGCTTCTACATCTACGTCAAAGATAATTCGTCTCACTACTATTTCACCAATTACATTTTTAAAAAACATAAATATTTAAAAAACATGGATGATGAAAAATTAATTCAATTAGTGAAAAGTAATGAGCTCATTTACAACAAATGTGATGCGGACTACAAATCTATGGAAAAAAAGAAGGCCACTTGGCAAAGGATAGCACGCGAGATGGAGTCCACCGGTGATTGTGCAGCTAGTAGATGTTTCTTCACAATAAAACATTCCTTATATTTTAGAATCGGATTGCGTACGCCGTTGGTCCTGCCTACGTGATCGGTACACCAAGGAAAGCCGCCGTTTGACTGCACTTGCTAATAATGGAATGACAACATCCCAGCTATGGCCACTATTTGCAGAAATGGAGTTCTTAAAACCACACATTCTCAATCGCAGGTAAGAATGCACTCTTATTAATTTGTATTACCTACTTGTATTAATTTAAAAGCTCTTCAGTAAATCAATACTAGGTACCTCGTCCTATTCGGTTAAATTAAAAGAGCCAACAACAGAATTTGAAGAATTTGACTCGCATATGACAGAGCAGGAAGATCCTATAGAATATGAATATCTTACATCATTTTTATCGAAAGAAGAAATAGAAATACAGCAAGAGGTATTCGATGAGTATCTACCAACAGAAACACAATCGTCCGCACCTTACCTTACATCTTCCACACCTTACCATAAGAGACCAACCACCGATCCAAAGCCTTCGCATTCATCTACTTCGAATACGGAAAATCATCATACCAAAAGTAGAAAGAGATCTTGTGAACCTGATGTCGAAGAAGAGCTAAAAAAGGCTTTGGAAATATTTAAAGAAGTTTGTGGGGCAGCAAGAATGCGTCGACAAAATCCTGCAGTGTATGGTTTTGGACAAATGGTTGTCGAAACTATTTGTCAAATGAGTACACGAAAACAGGCTATTGCTATGCAAAAAGTTACAGAGTTGGTCATGACACTTAAAATGGAGCCGGATAGTATGGAGCAGGTGTAGAAACTTGTAAATATTTATCGAGTTTAGTTTGAAAGTAAATTTAAGTGGACAGTAATAAAAACTAAGTAAGCAAAATTATATAATTTCTAAATCTATTTGGCTGTGTGGCTCTTGTAGGCGCAGAAATGAGCGTAAATATTAATGCTATGGTATTTAATAGCAAAAATTTAAAACCAACGAAGAATGTGTCAGCTAAACCCGTGTGCACCATTCCGCCAATTCAAGTGACCAACCTAATTGTTATCCCAGCTTTGGTTGCTTTTCGAAGAAATGAATTATTTATCAAACAAACAAACGTAATGCTGCAACAACCCCAAAAAAGCAAATAAAAAAATTATAAACACGTACAAAAACGGTTACGTTCCGGCAACCATCTGGTCTACGTCACAGAAACGAACGAATTTATTCCCGCTCAAGATTGTCACTTCAACAGCATCATCCGCCGAAAGTTTTAATGCTCAAATAACACAAGAAATAGCAAAACAATAATTAAAACAACATATTTTTCGTTTTGTTTTTGTTGTATTATCAATTTAATTGTTCTGCACATGTTTTTATTCTCAGACGATTAGTATTTTTTATTATTTATTTTTGTCGTAGTAGCATTGTTGCATATAATTTCTATAAGGACAAATAATTATATTTGTGTTTGTATATGTTTTTGTAAGGAAAATGTTCTGCTTATCTGGAAAATGTTGTTGATTTTTGGTACACACTTAGTAAATACAAATAAAATATTTTAAATACATAGTAAGGGAATTTTAGGTTCGATGTCGTTATTCGCAATTCACCAATTTTTTGCATATCTTAATATCAATATTTTGAATTTTCTTTTAGGAATTGCAAAAGAGATACATACCGCATAGCGAATTGAGAAAAACTGAGCCGAAACTCCCTTATACATATTTACTTTCTGTCACCAATGTGCCTACATATTTTATATACTGTTGTCGGATTTTTCGTCATACTGCACACATACATAAGTATTTACTTTAAACAAATCTTTACGCGTTTTATTTTTATACTTTATACAATACCAAAACATAAGCTTGCGTTTACGATTTTTCCTTAAAGAAAAATGGAATAAGCTGCTGCACCGCACTACTTACTTTTGTGTGGTGCGGTTCGTTTGTGTATGATTAATTGCTTACTTAACTTTATTTAGGTTAAACTTTTCAGATTAGTTTTAAAGTTTTGCAATCGAAAAAAAAAAATATGATTAAAAAAAATTATACTTGATAACAGAAAGTAAATATTATGTAGTTAATAAAAAAGGATGACAGCAGTGTTGTTTTGTTTTTTTTTTCTTGCATCCTTAAGTATTTTCCTTTTTTTTAATTTTCGGTTCAAAAAGTTTTACTAATTATAGGTATGTTATTTTATTTTATTTAATGTCTTATTAAAAAATAAAACATAGACAAATACCAACACTTTAACTTTTCTGTATTTTAATGAGTGTCGCGTTTATTTCCAAGTATTTTAATTTAATAACTGTTGCATATAAGCAACAAAATACCTTATATAGTTGCGCGCAAAGCTGAATACATGCCACAAAAGTTGCCAAAATTTATTTGCAATTTTGCTGAATCTATGCCAAACGAAGATGTGTTTGCTTTATATAGTGTTTTTGTTTTGTGTTGAGTTTTCATTTAATAATTTCTACACACAATAGAAGCTGTAAGCATTTGTGTGATTTTTGTTTATTTAATTATAATTATTTATGTGTAGTATCTTTCATTTTGAGATTATAAACACAATTGCTGTTTAAAGAAAAAATCGTGGGAGGAAATTCTAAACGCATATAAAGCGAAATCGATGGTCGTGTTGGATTCGAGTGGCTGCCCAAAATAGTATGTTCCTACAAATTTTGGTCGACAATTTAAGTTCCTCCTCATTAAAAGCTACAAGCGCCGAATTTTTTGGATATTCCACAATGTACATTAATTTAGAGCTGTGCGTCAAATTTTGGTGTTTTGCAGATGTTTTACACAAAAATCGGCGAGTACATTGCTGCCGAATAAACGAAAAATTTATTTTATATTTCTTCTAACATTTTATTAAATTAAAAGAAAAATTAAGCACATGCAATCTTGTCTGTTAATTAGAACATTTTCAGGTGCTTAAATTAACATTTCAGCTGCTCTTGATGGAAATTCCGTTAAAAATGTTTTATATTGCCCATTTAAGCTTTTTATCAAAAGAAACAGGCGCAAGTCCTACGATAACTAACATTCCTTCACATATAAAATCGCATTATTTTTTTGGCTCCCAATTTCCGCAGTCCTTCAAAAATTCGGATCAAATCATATACTTTTTAACCGACTTCCAAAAAAGGAGGAGGTTATCAGTTCGTCGGAATCTTTTTTTTTTTTTTTTTTTTATGTATGTTACCGCATAACTTTGCACCACGTCAACCGATTTCAGAAATTCTTTTTGCAACGGAAAGGTAGTGTCTCAGAGGTGGTCCCATACTAATTTGGTTTACATCCGATCATTGGATCATGAAATATATAGATATATATATATATTTTTTTAAGTCGGTTGTTTTTTTTTGCTAAAAATTACTTGTTCATTCATTTCATTGAATTGGGCATTTTATGCTGGTGGAAAAGTAATTTCTATAACTTCTCGCTTAGAGCCAACCTAAACCTCCAATCGCTACTTTAAATCGCATAATTTACATCGACATTAACCATTTTTACGTATTCATCGTTACTTTATTTGCAGCTATGCATTAGAATCTCCTCATTTTACAAATAATTCTACTTTATTTTTTTTATGAATTTGTTTTATGCACAGTTTAGAATTGAAAATATTATGTTTTTAAATTAAATTTAATATATAAAATTACAGTGTACTTTTTAGCTTTGAGCAAAAAATAATAAAAATTAGCATATAAAAATAAAGAATGGCAATTTCGCCAATATTGCCAAGCTCTTATTCGTAATTACGCTAAAGCAAAATCATTTACTTGGAACACAAACGCATTAGAACGGCTTAAAACTGCTTTAAAAACATATGTAGACGCCGCCTTCTCTAAAACTCTCCAAGTGCTCACTTTCTATTATTTCATGTATGTTGTTTGAGCAGCGTTGAAAGAAATAATTTTTGCCTACCTACGCTTCGGCCAACAACGTCCGACAATGTATTTGAACCTGTGCCAACTTAAAACAAGCTTAATTATTTTATCTTCCCTTTGCTATTTTACCATGCTTCAATAATACATAAATAATTCAATTTTTTTGTTTAAAGCAATTTCAACGCTTAAATAAACAATTGCAAAGGTATTGCATTTATTAGATCGTTTAAAAAATATTTAAAATAATTACTATAAAATTGAAGCAACTTGGGGAACCAACAAAATAACTAATGTGGGCGTCACACATGATTCAACTTAGAGCAAGATAATAGTGTAAATTTGTTTTTTTTTTTCATTCACTTCTGTTGCTTTTGCTTAGTAGCTAGCATTATGCATTTGTTTTGTTTGCTTTGAAATTGCAAATATGTATATCTTTTTAACCATCTACATGGGAGTTTCTCGTTATTTGAGTGAATTGTTCTCGTAATGAATCCGTTAATTTCGCTCGTAGAGGCTAGTAAGGGTTTAGTATGTATAAATTTACTCCCTTTGGGATTTCTTTTCATTACACTCGTCATTACCGCTTACATTCACATAAGTTTCACTCACTTCATATTTAACTTATATTTATCTTGCTAACTTGTTTTTGTTGCTCATTCCTCATTCCAACGATTGTTCAGAAGCGCACTGTGGTGTTATACTTGTTCTTATGTGTTTTCTTGCTTTTCTTCATTAAAACACTATCTTCGCTATGCTTAACACTCGCTTTGTGAATAATCCATTTCTTTTTTCGCACTTCTCGTTAGGCGATCAAGTTCGGCAGCTGCATCGGAGCGCATCGCCAACTTATCAATGGCACCATCGGTGCCATTCGTACGTGGTGTACTGCTCGCATTCGGTGCATTGGGCGGGGTGGCAGGCGTAGCGGGTGAACCCGATTTTTTGTGCAACAGCGAATTGAAAAAGTTGGCGAGCACACCTTCGTTGCCCGGTGTAGCTGGTGTCGGCTTCACGCTTACCTTAATGGGTGAACCCTGACCACCGGAGCCAGGTGTGCGTTGTTGCATGCCCTTGTTGGTGCCGCCTTGATGGCGCAGCGGTGAATCGCCACGCGGCTGGCCGCCTTGTTTGAGGATCTCTTGCTGTCGCGACAGAAAGGCCTGTTCATCTTCGGTTTGCATTTCGATTTCACGATTAGCAACAGTCTATGTAAAATGCAGATTTCGCTTAGAATATATGTATACACTTGAATGAGTGCAAAAGCTGCAACTTACTTTTCTGGATTGTGGTGGCGAGATAATGTCTGCGTAGTAGTCCTCTGCCTTACACGATTGCATATTCTCGTATAAAATACTTATTTTCTTCAAGCTATCCCAACCTGCAGGACTGTGGTGGAGAATAAATGGAAATGAGTATCGAAAAGTAGGTGCTCTGTTTTGTATTAAAAAAGACTAAAAATATTTATTACATTAAAACCGCATCCTTCTCGACAAATAACGCAGGCGTTCGGAATGGTAAGCCGTAAATTCGATGTGTCAAATATTTATATAGGAGATCACAGTTCTTGTCTTCTTTAACGCTTGTGTAAAAAAGTGATGTGCCATGCTGCAAGCAAAAGCGTCGTATCCACTGCTGTATGAAATCAAAATGTTCATCTCGATAATCGTACTCCTTTTCCAGCGTTGTCATGTAGTCCGTCTGAAATCAAAATAAGCAAGCAAGTTGTAAAGTTAATTTCGCTTTAGTGTCTTCATATCTTTACACACCTTTGTGACCACTACAACGATATCCAGACCGAGATTCGTTGTCAACGCGCCCTCGGTGAGCGGCAGCAGATCATCGTCATCAATCGAATTATTTCTCATCGTACGTTTTACTGGCGACCCGGGATCCAAATCATCGCCCACCTCACAATAACTCTGCCATGTAGTGATTAGCCGCTGTCGTGCCTCTTGTTTCTCTTGTGGCTCCAACTTCATGCTCTCAATGTGATCGGAGAGCACTTTAATCCAGTGATTCAATTGATCCAGCCAAGCCCATGGCTCCGTCATTGAGACTGTAAGTATGACGAGGGTGTGTTCAAAGTTCGTTTCGTTCAAAGCATAACGCAGCAGATTTGTATGCCCTGGATCGCCATCAAGAATCCAGACACCTAATCGGGTTGTGTCTGTAAATAAACGTAAATGTAATTAAAGGTAGTGAAAAAATTAGTAAAATAAATGTACTTACCATCTCTGTACTCATCTTTCACATCGATATACGCATACTCCAGACCTGAACCCTTTTTCGGATCTTCGACACCTTGCAATTTCGCAATAAGCGTCGTTTTGCCGGTGGCATTATCGCCTAATACTAGTACTGATTTATTTGATGGAAGTTTTGTGCTGCCTTGTTTTTGTACTTCACTCAAAATTGCAGACCTGCAAATTGTGGACAAATAAAAATAGGAAATCAGTAAGTTAATAATGAAATGGGTTAGTCAGCAAATTGAGTAGCAAGTTATTAATGTCTAAATATTGCGTTCTATTGTACTTAAGTAGTGCCTGACTGCACATGGAGGCAGTGATCTATGATTTTGGTTGACCTATAAAGGAGTGTACCACCCACCAGATATATTTAGCAGCAGTCATTATGCGACAAATTTGTACCTATTAAATTACACATTATTTCATACAAGTGCAGCTGCAGTAAGGTTTTAAAATGCAAATAATGTGTGTGTGTATGTGTATGTATGGCAATGCGGATATGGTCAACAAGACAATTTTATGCGGCAGGCATTCAAAATCAGCGACTAATTCGGAACTTGCATGAGAACGCGCATAGAAAATGAATAAGTGTAGTGGAATTAAAATATGATTGTAGCCGAATAAAGCTGACACAGTTTAAACGTAATTTGCCAACTAAATAATGCAATAGTTTCTAAATAAATTTGAGCTTGTTTTGGCCAGCATATAAACCCCCAATTACGCTGATTACCAACGCAAATTGTTGTAATGACACACAGCTATAACGCCCAACTTACTCAGTGCCTCTCAGTTGCTCTGCGCCGAGGATGCCAATACCAATTTCTTCAAATAAAGAACGGTGTTCAAATCGCATGACTTGGCGAGTAAAATTTTACTACACACTTTTCAAATGCTTTTAATTTAATTGCAGTATTAATTCCAATTCAATTAACTAATATATAGTCTTCGATATATTTATCAATAATTTTGCTTAAGAGTTTCATTAATTTCCAGAATTTATGAACATCAGAAAGCGTGCGCTGTCTTTACTCTATAACTTCCTTTTTACAGGACTTTAGCTGCATGCAATCGCTTTAGAACCGCACAATTATCCGTGTATCACTACCACTAAACGTTTTCCGACATGCAAATGACACACCATAAGCGACACGAAAATTCCGTCTGTCCGTTCTTGCATCTATTTTAGCAGGGAGTTTGTTATCCTTTAAATACACAAACACGAGTAGTCAACGAGTGTAGCCTCTTCACAGCTTTTTGCACTCATTTATTTTCAGTACACACTGCGTCTCAATGCTTGCGCCGAGTTAACTGCCCAGTCCACCCACTACAACACCAACCATTTTCTATGATTTATTGCACCACATTTGTGCTTTTATTTTTGTTCTAACAATTGTTTCATTACATTTGAATTCAATTCGTCGTCTATTGATTTTTTTGAAGGTGTTTTCTTGCAACTTTAGAGCAACACGAACATCACTCTCTATTACGTACAGCTACTCGTGTCGTTGGAGCCTTTCGCCAACTTTGGACAGTGGCGGCTACGCTAGTGGGTAGTGCTTAGCATTTTGCACTTTGCGACAACAAATACTTCAAATAAAACACGTCGCGCCACTGTGTTCTGCTCTTTAACACCACTTGGAATTTTTTTAATTTTACATGGATATTTCCAGTTGAATTAAAAACACTATTGTGTAGAAAAATGGCAACTCCATTATGTGTAAAAGATAACAAGCGGTGTTATTTTGGGCTCGATTCCTATTCCGAGGCACATCCAAGGAAAAGTGGTTTCCCAATAGCAGTCCCTGCGGTAGCATCCGAAAAAAAGCTGCTTACTAAGCTTAGGTTGTTCTCCCTAACTGGGAGCATAGATGCCTCACCATAGTGTTCAGGCGACATTAGAAGGTACTCTATCATTGTCCGAGGTGGGTCGTTTTGGCCAGTATGTAGCTTCGTCCAACTACATAGTATATTTCACAGCCGACCTGCTAATTAACTTGTATGTTGCGAACAAGAGCTGTCGGCGAGCAACTTGAAGACTTTGTTGGGGAACCATCGGAACCGGTGTGGCATCGACGTGGATCCGTAATTGACCTCCTTCGTTCAGATGGTAAAGAAAGTCGCCGTTATTTTCGTCGGGAAGGGTGTTAGGCTCCGTGCAGTGAAGAAGCGAGAAAGTTGGATGTTAGACGTTTACTTTCGAGCACAGAGCTGTTGTTGTGATTGTAGCGGTGCTACTAAGTCCTGCCTAGGTTGTCCAAAAATCGTTGTTGTCAAGCCCAACTAACGGTAGGCCCAAGAAACGAGCTGTTTCGACGGAGTCGCACCAAAGAGAGAGGGGTGTTAACTGAGTGTGATTGAGCTGGCATGTGAAGAGATGGTTGGT